AGTTTCCCAGGAAATAAGCAAGGATCAAGGGATGTTACCATCAACTAATCATTATCATTTATTTTTTGCCGAGAAAAAAATTTCCAACAGAAGCTTCCAATGCAAAAAAAGGCGCATGTAAAATGAGGAATAACCATATTATGTGAACGAAATACTACAGTAACAACTGTGAGAAAACTGGAAACGAGAATAGATTATTGCTTATTTAAAGCTAAGGTTAAGGGAGAAAGGAGAAGTTAAATTTTTTGAAACGATTTCGCGGTGTTTCGGAGCGACCAGTGGCAACCCATCCTTACCGACTATTCGGGTAGTTCCGGTATTTCCCGTGAATTTCAGAATGCTAAAATGGGAAAAATTTTTTACGTCAATTAAAATTTTAAGCAATTACTTCGACTCAAGAATTGAATCGCTTAACCCAGAAAGCTCAAAAACACGAATTCAAATGGGTACTGAATTCAAAAATCCTCAAACAATGAGTGGCAAAAACTTCTTTCTTACATTTCACTGCACGAAAATAACGACATCTCGTTCATCGTCCAAAAACTTACGCCATCTTAGGGGACGAATAATAATTATATTAATGGCTGATGTTACGATTGTTAAGGAGCCGTGTGGTGGTGGTGTTCAGCTGTAACACGACTTAGCACCTTGTGCCTGGACTTCTTTGCGCCATTTGAATGCATAGTAGTAAATTTTAATAGAAAACTTCTCCAACTCATTTCCTCCTTCAGAGTTTTATAAAATTTCAAAAAATTTATGTGCGCTTTCCTCCCATAATCTGATTTTCCGTAATTTTTATGCATCCTACAAATACACAGAAATGACATGCACAGACTGTCCTAAGTGGCGCGAAACTGACGACAAAGGCCGTGCGACAAACAGTGCAGCGAACATTACCGGTGAGAAAACCTTCACATGCAAGCATGATAATGACTGGGCATCCTCCTGAGTTGCTCCAGTGTAGATGACAGCACATATAATACTAAAATTTGCTGGTGGGTCGGATTGAAGAAACACGTCTTTGTTTGAATAACTTGACTTGAAAGGGCGAAGTGCATGCCATAAAATTAACTGAAAAAATTCCATGAAGACAATTAAAACAGACATATCTGAGTGTTATGCCCTGGTGCATCGAGCTTCCGGAAGTGATTGCGCGATATCTGCTTCGCAGTACCGTGGACCGCCAGGCACGCTTGCCCAACACTCAGTGGTTAATTCGGCCTCGTAGCACTTTTGGTTTTTGAATTACACAGAAGTCGCATAACTAGAACAACTTGCAATGTTGCACCTCAGGCTTACAGTTCTGCTGTCGTTCGCGATCTTCTCTGTATCAGTGCCTCAGCGGAAAACAAAAACAACCCTTCATTCTCTGAATGGCCTAAACCAAACAAGTCCGTCTGTGTTTTGAAATTTTTGTTTCCTGATCAGGGAAAGGGCTACCTGCCACTCACCCTGATGTGTCTGAGTGACGTTCCAGGGGAAAAATGACCGCTGTCACTAAAGTTTTCGTTCAGCTCGTTCCCACACTTCCACTCAGTCTTAACGGTTGCTGTGGTACTGTGACAGACTATTAGGAAACAGAGATGTCATGACATGTGTGGGTCAAATTTGGACAAACGACGGCAAAAGCAGGAAACGGAAAGAGACAAACTGGCTCACTCGAAAGCAACTCTATTGCTTTGTTCGAAGCTCAACCACCATCAAAGATTTCGTGTCTACTCCCGCCCACCATTCTATAAGCCAGGCAGCAATGCGCCAGACTTGGTGCGGTCACACATATCTGCACCAGTCTTGAAGCAGTCGGATCGTTAACAGTATGAATAGTTGCTATTTTACAGTTTAACATGTACACTCATGTTGGCCGCACTCTGACCTATCCTTGCAAGCGAGGAAAAAGTGTCGAGTAGACGACAGTGCTGTATCACTGGGTCACACATGCATAACTATTGGAAATTCTGCATAAGTGACTAATTTCCGCTGACCGGTCATTTAGTAAAAAGTGAACTAAACAAGAGAGGAGGATGACAAAACCTGAACAAAATGCATTCGTTTTTGAGAATGACAGAGAACTGACATTGGCATTTCTGCGTGCAGGGAATTTAATCTCCAAGCTAAATTTAGGCCATACGTGGATATAAAATATTCCTGTAAATTTCAGATTCACAGCTTTCCCGGTATCCGAAATCGTCACTTCCATACCCAAACGTGTAGTGCAAGTGCAATTCGAAACTCCACCTAGGTATTTGAATTTCCGGACGGATGGTGAATAC